TTTCCCCAAGACATCACTCCAGATGCTACTAGACTTCTAGCTAGTCAACAACCTTGGGAAACCCATTTCTGCAATGATGCCCAGCGACAAGCGTGTTGCCACATTCGCATAAACTAGCACAAGCATTTAACTGAAGACAACTAAATGAGCCTAAACAACACGGATAGCCTTAGCAACACGCATGTTGCAGAGAACCTGAGAGCATTAACTTAGCTTGTGAAGACGTTCGAGAGAGTGAAACATAGCAGCTGTGGAGTGGATGCTTGATCTCTTGATATCCTTCTTGGGGATGAAGTTCCCATCTGAACTTGTTCTTGAGTCAGTCACATAACTCGTGGAGTCCATGACAATAATGTAGCGATGCGTGAATTAATGCTAACTCAGTCACTTCCGAATCAGGCAGCTTATAATGTGGTGAATTCACGTGTTCAAGTTAACAAACTTGAATGAATTGGAGGTGAGACCATTGGGGAAATGAATTCCACTTCTCTAAATTCCCGATTCCTAGTGATGATGGTGTTTTGCCTGCCGAATTCGCCATTTAATTAGCCATTGAGCAATATGAAAACCTTATATATGAATGCTTAGATAGGCGTCATATTCCCATAAGTAGATGGGGATCAGCTGAGAGTCAGCTGATGCGAACCTGACTAACGTGACCTGCCAGAACTAACGCTACGCTTGATGTATATATATATATATATATATATGTGTGTGTGTGTACACTTTCGTGCTGATTGGGTAGATTATTGGAAAGTGCTGCTCCTGAACTTCAATAATAAGATATAAAAATAGATATAAAAACTTAATTTTAGTGTTCCATTCCTTTTAATTATTTGAACATTATGCAGTGCATTGCAATATAATATGCTGAAGGTCTAATGCCTTGCAGAGTTCAGCTACAACCTACATCAAACGCACTTTCCTGGAGGTTTCTAATGATCCTGAAGAACTTGATTACCTGGTTCAGATGTTTAATTCAGGTTGGAACTAATCTCTGCAGGACCGTTGTCCTCTGGGATCAAGATTGGACACTGTGGGATTACAAATTTAAGGATCTGTCTTAGATTTACTGATCCTATGTCCTGACATACAATCACCTGAAAAACTAAGGTGAAATTGTATTTAGGATTTATGGTAAATATGATTTGGGTCTCCAAACTCAGTCCTGGAGTGTTTAGCTCCAATTCCAATTAAAACTCTCTTGAGATCAAAAGAGGCAAGCAGAGTTTGGAAGTCTGCAGCCTGAGGTTTATCTAGGTGGATGTTGAAGTCTCCAAGCATAACTAGGGGAGTACCATCCTCAGGAAAGGTTGAGAGCAGCACATCTAATTCATCCAAGAAGTTACTTTGTGGTCCTGGGGGTCGATAAACAACTATAAAATAGATTTTAAAAGGGTGGGTGACCGAATGTGATTAAAAGGAGCTGTTAATACCCAGAGAAGACAGGAATACATTTCAAGTCATTAGAAATAAGCACACCAGTACCTCCAAACTTAAAGGTATTATTATCACCCTGCATCCTCAGAGTAAGATCTGAACTGGCGTGTTTGTGACCGAGAGTTTACTGTTGGCCAAGTTCAGTCTGTCATGAACGAATAATTGAATGGATGGGATATTCAAAATAATCAACTATCTAAATGAATACATAATCGATATTTGTGATCAGAAATGCAACCTAAATTTATTGATCACTTGAAATTTGAGTCAGATTAAACACAGAGCTAGACTAAAATTGAAACTAAATCCTGATAAATTAAGTGAACTTTGCAGAAGCGCAAGTAAAAGACAGAACATGCAGAATACCTTCAACCAGGCCGCTGGATTTCGCTTTTGGGCCAGCGGGTGGATCTTTACACATTTCTTTTCTTTCTTTTACTTTAATGTATTTTCTTTCCATTGAAAGTTTCATGTTCTAAGTTAAGATTTGCCTTCAAAGACGTGTCTAAGACATTGTCTGTGCCTGCCTCAAAACTTCAACCCGCGTACAGGGCTCCGCATCCATTCATCAGCCAACGGCCAACAATTGGCTTTCCCCAAGACATCACTCCAGATGCTACTAGACTTCTAGCTAGTCAACAACCTTGGGAAACCCATTTCTGCAATGATGCCACACAAAGGGAATCCCTAACACAGGAAACTCAAGTAAAACCTCCAGATTCTAGCTGAACTTATGCATTTAATAGAAAGATTAATAGCCTCTTTGAGAAACTCAGTGGGAGTGTTAATGAAATGATTGATGGTTGTTCAGGTCTAAGAAATTGCATATATTGCTATTAACTGGGGATTTCACATTTTCACTCTCTTAAACTCATTCTTACCTCACTTTCTGCAACTTGTGTGAATGTGTGAGTGCGTGTGTTTAAGTGTTAGATTAGTTTATATGTCTTAGATTTGTTCAATAAAGTCTTATTTATATTGAAAGGAGAAGTATCTTGTGTTTTGTGCTTACAAGTTAATGTCTTAAACTGCCGATCTTGTTACCGTGCTAGTACATAAAGTGTTTTCATTATACTTTGGATATTAATATACTTTGCAGACTTGATGTAAATGGCCTGTTCAATGAATCACTGACCGGCTCCGTGATCAGTCTTAGAACAGTGATTCTGTCCAAATTCCCTATAAAATCATAGTTAATTCCCTTTGAGCTAAATTGACCATCCAACAAGAATGACGAACTGACACCAACTGCAATTAAAGAAATACAATTTTAAAATCTTGTAGGGCCCCTGCAGAACAGACCCACCAAAGCTGCTGAATAAACACATTCCAAACAGAATCTAAAGATTCCCCAACACAGCCATCACGAAGTTGTAAAACTGATTGACGATTGTCAACGACACCCAAATTGTCTGGATCACGCCTGGCTTTTATCCCCTCGGGGGATCGGAACAGTGATAACGCTAATCCATTTAGGAGAACAGAGAACTCCCTTTTGTCTGGAACCATTTAGGCCATAGATGGTTGAGTGTTACCTCATGACCGCAATTCATAAATCCATGTAAAAGTTACAGGAAAAGGATAATTTACGTGACACTGTGAGCAATTCGTTGCTTGAATGCTCATTCACTTGTGCTCACTTGCTCACTCAAATGCTCGACCAAGCAAGCATTCTTGCTATCCAGAACTCTTCAGACCGTTAAAGTTTCGCGACTCTTTGAGATTTCTCTGAAAATCTTTAATGTCTTTGCGTCTCGCAAACTCAAGACTCTCAGAAGAACTTTTTAGCACATCACACTGCGTAACCCGGCAACCAACATCTGATGCTCCATCCGGCACTCCAAAGGTCCATCCACCACCGAGTGTGTTTCCCAAAGACATCACGAGAATCGATCACTAACCAATCAGTGACGCCATGATTCCCTCTGCCAGATTGCCTCTTCTCCCATCGAGGAAAACTCCCATTCACAGGAGCACCCAAATGCAAGTACAACAATCTCCTTCTTGCTGAACTAGTGGAAAATCTTCTTAAGCAGATCAAATCAAACCAAAGTGATAACTAAATGATTCTCTCAGATTGCGGTCTAAGAAATAGTGGTAACCACTAGACTTTTGGCACTCCATTCAAACTCCATTAATTCCCTGCAGACTGTATGTATATACTGTATGTGTAATGAAATTAGCTCTTTTCAGAAATTTGAATCTAAAGTTTCGGAGTCAACTTGATTAGAACTGATTCCAAAATTGATAGTTTACACTTTATCAACTGTTCGTCCAGTGAAACGTTAACATCAGTATATCTTAATTTGGATATTTATATTATGCCCTGGCCAAGGTCATAATAACGGTTAGTGATGATTTATTAAGCTACGAGCTAGGTAACAAGATCTGGGCAAAGTTTTAACTTTAAAATACACAACACAAGACAATGATTCTTATAATGAAACAAGAATTTATTTTGAGCTACTCTAATGACACACACACACAAACAGTTCTGAAGATGAGAGTTAACAGAGTTTTACTGAAGTCCAAAAAGTCTAGTATTTGATACTAGTTCTTAGATCACAACCTGAGAGAATCACAAAGCAGAGATTTGGCTTATCTTTACTGCTTAAGATCAATTCAGCACCGGTTTCAGCAGATAGAATATTTTGATGATGTCTTTGGGATTCACGTGGTGATGAATGGAGATTTGCCTTGTAACGGAGGAGCTTCGGAAGTCGGTTGCCTTGGCTACGGATGTTGTGGCACTTGAAGTTCTTCTGAGAGTTTCTTTGCGTGGCTTTAGACTTTGAAGATTTTGGCAGTCATGAAGCTTTAACGGAGTGTTTGGAGTTCTGGATGGCCCGATCACGTGATGGTGCATTGAGGGTGCGCAAGCTGGAGCGCGATCAACACAAAGGTGAAAGAGCCCTGAATCTATTCGTGACATTTGGTTTTAAGCGGGCCGACTAAGTCCATCCCATGTCATGGTATTCCAATCAGTTTGGGGCAAGGCAGGGCCACGCCCCATACGGTTCCTTTTTCGTGCATAAATTAACCTAATGTTCTGTCTGTCACACAAGGAAATGTCCTGGCAGGTTTTGTTGATAACTTCAACTAAGTTTCTTAATGTGAGTATTGTACATAATACCCACTTTTCATTCATGCCAATGTTCTGCACTTATCGCGACCATTCTTTTAAAACTAAACTGACGACACTCATCCAGACCATCAAATATGAACAACACCTTATATTCTTCACTGGATATATCCATTTCTTTAGTTTCAGGGAAAAAGACATGAAGAAGACCTGAAAGACTGAGTGTTTTGTCCTTAATCAAGTAGATTTCTCTGAAAGGAAGTGGAAATATGATCTGGATGTCCTGATTCTCTTTCCCTTCAGCCCAGTCCAGGATGAACTTCTGCACAGAGACTGTTTTTCCAATGCCAGCGACTCCCTTTGTCAGCACAGTTCTGATGGCTTTATCTTGTCCAGGTAAAGGTCTAAAGATGTCATTGCATTTGATGGCTGTGTCCTCTGTTGCTGCTCTCCTGGATTGTGTCTCAATCTGTCTCACCTCATGCTCATTACTGATCTCTCCACTCTCACTCTCTGTGATGTAGAGCTCTGTGTAGATCTCATTCAGCAGTGTTGGGTTTCCCTGCGGCGCTGTTCCCTCATACAGACACGCAAACTTCTTCAGCAGATTTGATCTAAACGTGTTGAGGACTTCATGGCTGTAAAATAAAAAAAAAATCCACATTATTACAGGAGTTAATATGTACAGAGGGTCTCATTCATTAATAATTGTGTGGATTATGTTGTATTTGTACACACAGAAGAACCTCTCATGAAAAATGTCCCCCTTATTCACAATACGTACGTATGCACATTCATTAGTTCTTAACCTTGTTCTAATTTTAGTGAATTTGAATTATTCTAAATGAGTGGCCACAGCCTTATGTCATTGTTACCTTGTTAAACATGCCGCTGTTTGCAGACGTGCTCTCTCCCAATCCTCAATGCAAAGTGTGTCATTCTCACCAGTTCTGTGGAATATATGAAAGTTTCACTTTTTGAAATAGGTATAAAAAAAAAGAACTTTTTCATGATTATTCAAAATTTTTGAG